ATTTAAGTACAACTATTTATTTAGTTGTACTTGAAGCGACCGATCTTAATGATGATTGTATTTGGTCATTGGCAACAGCCATATTTTTTGTTACATATTTTCAATAGTTGAAACAAATTTTTTGGTTTTCTAAAGCAGTATATTTTTTGAAGTACTTCAATGTATTAAAATAAAATTTTGGATGAGAAGTTTAATGTTTACGGGCTTATAACCAAGGGCCCAGATTTAAATTTTAAATACCTTTATAATAACAATAATGCATTTGTACATGTCCTTACAACATTTTTTTTTTTAGGGTCTTGTAAAATTGATTTGTGTGGCGTGTTCCTAGTCCATATAGGTAGTAGGGATTCCGAGAAGTATGTTTCAAAATATTTAACCGTACGTTATTTTTAGGCACAATTTTTCTTTACTGGGCCCGAGGCCCTTAAAAAACTGATCCAAGGGCCTTTGGTGTGCCAGGCTGACACTGATAAAGGGCCCAACCAGATATCTTAAAACTAAAAAAGTCATATCGATCAATTTTACATGCTATCGATTCCATACAGATACTCATACTTGCAATAATAATTATTATTTCATTATAATGGTAATATAATATTTAATTTATAGAATCGTCTCTTTATAAAATGTAAGGTTATTAATTTTTGAGTATATGTATAACATGCCTATCTAGGATGTACCTACAAATGCATTACAATATAATATGAGAAAGAATAAAATAAGAAAGAGAAAGAAAAAAATGATAATCTAAAATAGATTACAAATAAATTAGTGATCTATTTAAAAAAATATTATAAGTAGTTTACTAGATATTTTTCCACTGCAAGGAAAATTGAATTGAGGAATTATAAATCTGTTTTTTTAGAAATGTAATTACATTTTTTTTTTTTTGATTATGTGTTTCATTATCGATAAACAAAGCATTTCGAAAATCGGCCTCGAAGATCGGTTGGAAAAAAAAATGTTGTAACCAGCCCAAAAACATATTTAATTAAAAAAAAAAAATATGAAAGACAAATATAAATACAATTAACAATACAATAGGTAAGTATTGACAATTAGATATATTATATTATTTTCAATATATGATATTTACAATCTAATATTCTGTAAAGAACAATAAGTGGATGTGAAAAGGGTAATAAAATATATACGAGTGAGACTTTTGATGGAAGAAGCCACCCATCGGTGACACTGCCTCTATACCAACAAATTGTATTAATTACAATAATACAAGCGGGTATTATATTATATTTCTTAAGACGTGAATGGCGAATCTAAAAATGAATGTTTTGAACATTTCAGGACAGCCGATCATATTGTTTAATATTATATACAACAGTTTTAATTTTAGTTGCTTAAAACTCTATCTATACCATTTACCGTTTGACTATTAAAAACCTGGGAACTTTCGCTGCTGTATATATAGTAGTCATCAAGTGTACCTTTTGAGTAGATCACTGTAATGAGTGTAATGGATGTGTTAAATTTGAATTTAAATGATAAACCGTAGTTCATGATAAAAACATTTTGTATTCCGATTATTCTGAATAGTCTGGTACTTTTGACTTTTGACTTTCTTAAGTACCTTGTACCTAGGTACTAATTTGGTAGAATTTGCTACACCCTCAAAGTTGAATAACAAAGTATTTTTCCACTCCAAAACAAAATGACAGACACGATAATAATAAAAAAAAAGACACATCAAATATGCAGCCTATATAATAATTAAATGATCACCCTGAGCCTGAGGCCAAAAGTCCTGAAGTCTGAGAGACAACTAAAGTAACGTGAATTTGACAAGAAAAATAGTTTTTGTGTAAAACAATTAAGGTATGACCTGAAATTAATAAGTGAAAATACGAAATAAGTCGTTAAGCCTAGCACATATTTTTAATAATTTTAGTAAATTACCTTCAGTTAAGTTAAAAGTTAACAAAAACAAATTTAACTAGATAAGTTTAAAGTTGGGATAGAAAATAAACTTAAAATAACTCAGTTAAAAATAAATGCATTTTTTTTTCAAGTTACAATATTTTTAAGTCACCGCGTTTAAGACTGTGTAAACAATTAGATTATTATAATATAGTAATAATAAGTGAAAAACAAAAATAATTAACTAGTTAAGATAAAAGTTAAAAAAAATTAACTTTTTTAGCAATTTAATGCAGCCCACCTTTGCATTGTACCTACCTACATAATATATAAATTGTACCTACGTGTTCGAACACGCGTGCAAAGAACAGCAATTTTTTTTAAATTTATGATATATAAAGTTAACTGTTGGTACATTGTAAAAGTAATATGTACTAATTCATTAATAATTAAAATTACAAGCCATTCGCAGTAATAATGGTTCATACTCTGCTGAGAACCACTGACGCAGAACTCTCACGCGGATAAATATAATATTATTTATGTTACGGTCCAAGTGAAAAATATATGTGCTCATTGTAAACACTGTCCTGGTATTGTATACATTACCTGAGTTCTTCGATCCGTGTGGATAAATTATATACATAACAAATATTTTATACAATAATGGCCAGCAGTACTGAAAGTGCCAAGTGAACAAAATGCATAATACTACGTAAAACATTACTTTGTGATTTATTGAAGTTTATTGACATTTGTACATTTATTACAAGCCGATCCTGCTCTGAGTTGTCTGTAAAAATTTAATGCCCGTGGATTTACCGGTTCTTAAACTCCTCTAAATGTAAGAGGCACTTAGCTACACTTATCTGTACAATGCTGCACTTTAACACAGTTCTTTAGGTTATTTTGACCAAACATAAAATACAAAATTAAATCCAATCATATAATGACTACCTATTTTATTTTTCGTAACCAACGGAAACAATATATATAAAAAAAATTATAATTTTTCACGATTTAACACTTTCAACGCTGCTGAGGCGTATATATGCGTCAACAGAGTTTATTTCAGTATAGGCCGGTGACGCCTATTAAATCCTAATTAAATCGGATTTTTTTTCTGAGACTAAGATACCTAGGCCATTGACTATGTACTCTAAATTTAAAGGTAAGGGTGGTTTTAGTTTTTTCCATCGTTTCTGAAATCACGGGCGGCGTGTTTTAGAGCGATAAATTTGGATTACAAATTAATGAACATTTGACTTTAATAACAATTTTGTCGCTTATAATACCTTCCATACTTTCAACAATCAACATTTATTGTAAGTCGCCATGATATATCTATTTTTTTTTATTTGTTCGATTTTTCCTTCACAGAGTGTTCTTTCTGAAATATATTTTATTTTATCATAGTTTAAATGTCTACATTTTGAAAAGATTCAGTTCTTTTTATATGCATAGAAAGAGTTAGGTAGAATTTGTTTTCGTCGAATATTCGACAGCAACATCGCATTTGACCAATATTCAACTACCTATTGCCAAAACAGAAATCATGAAATTATTAAACAAATACATATATATATAGATGTATGTAATGTAAACAAATACAATATATATATACAATATACATGTGTTTGCTGTATGCCGAAAACCACTGTGTTGAACCATCTGGTGCCCTGCAGGTGCAAACATTTGCAAGCACCCCTCTCCACCCCTTCCAAATGGGGAGGATTATGAGAAGCCTACCTGCAAATCTTAAAAGGCGGATACACATATATAGAGCATATTATCATTATAAAAACCATAGCACGTTACTCGATATATTTTCCCTCTACAAGGAAAATCATAAACATGTTTTTTGTTAGTAAGTACCTAACCATGACCACGAAAACCTTACCAAAAATCGGTCAGATAAAAAAGACGTGTACATGGGCCAAGAACATATTTATGTCAAAATATTATTGCTATTTATAGAGACACTGTATTGGGCGGGCGCATAGTAAGTATATAGTGGTTATAAACACAAAATCGATTATTATATTGCAAGAAATAAGAACGAGACTTATCTGTCTACCGAATACGAGTGGAATCAGAGAAGACATATTATTATATTTTATTTTCGGACGATTATAATATTACGACTCGTATATAGCATAACGAGGGGCCTTGAGCGAGTGATATATAACAGCTAATCGAGTGTATAAACACATTGTAGACGAACACAGACGGACCATATAGACCAACAAAACATGTTTTTGTATAAGTATAAGTGTATAATCACGAAAACTTTACGAAAAATCGGTCAGAAAAAAAGACGTGTAAGTACCCAAGCAAAGAACATATTTATGTCAAAATATTATTGTTTTTTATAACGACCCTGCTTATTGGACGGGCGCAAAATGAGTATGTAGTGTTTATAGACACTATTTATGGCAAATTATGGCAAGTTAGAAAGCACAACAAGTGCTAGAGATAAATTTAAACATTTTATGTTATAAGTTTATAACTGACAAATTGATCATAGAAATGGAAAAACAAAAAACACATATTATTTATGATTAGACAAAAGATTTAGTTTTTAACTGAATAGATTTTAAGCGACGAAGAAATAAAAATAATGGCAAATAATCTAGTTGAAGCCTACAAAACCTAAACTAGCATAAGCGGAAATTCGGTGAAATTCCTTGGGGGGGGGGGGGGGGGGCTGAGTAATGAGTATTATATTATGCTCGTTACACTTATAAATAGGTAACACTGTACTAGAGCCGCTAGCAATTATTTATTTCAACAAGACAATTTAGTATTTGCAAAGTTCGACATACTAAACAATTTGATCATAATTAAGTACAAAAAAAATTAAGTACCTTATCTTTAACATTTTAGAAGTATTCTAAACAGAAATTATTGAGTTATTCATTTTTAATTTAGAATTATAACCAATGGCGGATTTAAGGGTTCAAATAAAGTTGACAAATCCATAAGAGGTGCCTCGTAAACCTAAGTACTTACCCCCCTAGCATATTTTTACTCCAACGTTATCGTTTGCACCTCATATTGACTGGATAGTAGGCAAAGTATTATGATCATTAGGGTTTATAAGGCGACATGCAGGGTCGGTCATGTCTGTAAGATGTTTGTTAATATTATATACTACTCTAGTTAGATCAATTGTAGAGTATGGATCTGTGGTATGGTCTCCAAGGACCAAATGTTATATTATTCGAATTGAACGTGTTCAGCATCGTTTCTTAAGCATGGTTTCTCGATCTATGGGCATTAATCATGAACCCCATGACTATAAACCCGTCTTAATAGCACTCAATATATCCACCCTAAGCGAAAGAAGAAATATGAGTGATATTAAACTTTTAAATGGTTTAGTCTCTGGTGTAATTAACTCACCAGACTTGTTATCTAGAATAGGTTTTCGCATTCCAGGTACAACCCGTTCTCGTGACCCCTACTACCTTGCTTCAGTGTCAAAAAATTATTTGAATGATGATCCTTTAAGGAGAGCTATGTCTTTGGTTAATAGTCAAAGTGGTTAAACATTTTTTCTAATTTAGGTTTTTGTTCCATTAAATTTAATTTTCAGGCGCCTACTATGTACTACTGTATAATTTTAATTTATTGATATTCAATGTGTTATGTTTAGATATGTATATATATATAAATATGTTGTAATGTATATTCATTAATAAGTAATTTATTGTAAAAGCTGTATGACGTTTAAAATAAATAAATAAATAAATAAATACGTAATTTCATCGAAACCGGGACGACGCGCGAAGCGACGCGGACGAATGCTGATAAAGTGATTAACAACCTATGCGAGTATTATTACTTATTAATTATTATTAATACTACATAATTACGATCTTTCTTTGTTATGATAATAAGTTAGTACAATCTTACGAATTTAATTTAATTTTTATCACCGAATATTTTTTTACAATTTATTTTTTACTTCAGTTATTAAATATGAATTTTACAATTATAACAATTATTATTGTATATTTAGTCACTTTAAAATTTTGTGGGCCAGGGGGGCTAAGACCTGCATTTTGAACTTCTCGGGGGCTTATTCCCCTTAAGCCCCCCCCCCCGATTTCCGCCTACGATAGTGTTAATCCGGGGGACTGGGCCTGCAGTTTATAACGACTATCCTGTATTGCAGGGCCGGCGCATAATGAGTATACAGTGTTTATAAACACAAAAAACGATTATTATATTGCAAGGAATAAGAACGAGACTTATCTGTCTACCGAATACGAGTGGAATCAGAGAAGATATATTATTATTATATTTTTATTTTCGTCGATTATAATATTACGACGCGTATATCGTATAACGAGGGGGCCTTGGGCACTCATCGAGTGTATAAACACATTATAGACGAACACAGACGGACCGTGAACGAAACGATAGATTATAATATTATTTTTCTTTGTTCCACCCGGTTCGCCATATAGTACGCGTTTTGCACGACGACTATATACTTATTTACGCCGTTTTCTCCGGCACATTAAAACCCAACAAACACACTCAACAGGCGTCACGCCTTGTGGATAAGCGGTCGAGGAGCAATGTGAGCTCGTCTTATATAAATATACAAATTGTAATAATAACATTTTGCATTTTGTGGGGCGTACCTAAGCTCGTATACAGTCATACAGCTATAATGGCTATACTGCAGTGGACTCGGTCACTGAACGATGCTACACATAATATTATGTAGGAGCAGGAGACCGATTAGGCCGAAGGTTACGACTTGTAATATTACAAGTGAGCTGCTGAAGATTTCGTGGTTATTCCTGTGGCACGTGGCTTTACAAAATTGAAGAGGGAGCGACGTATGGGGCGTGGATAAGTATACTTAACATCAAAATACTGCTATTTCATAAATCTACATTTCAATCTACATCGCTAGAAAAATGAAAAATTTAGAGCTACGACTCGCGCTGTAAATAAAATATTTAACTAATTAATTCGATTCCCTAGGTATACGAGTCACAATATATATATATAGGTAGGCTGCAAGTCGCAGGTATAGCCTACTCACGCATATACTGGGTGTAACAGTTTCCAATTATTATTTTTTTATTTAATTTATAGCCACTTGCGTTACAGGTGTAATAAAAAAAAAATTATTTTTATTTTGTAATATGTACTGAGAATAAAAAAATTTAAATTTGACTCAAATTTTTTGGAATAAATTGAAAATAGCCAATTTGTGAATCTGATTATAAGAATGATTTGGATGGTAAAAACATTTATCAAAGTGGAGTATAGTTTATTTTTTAGAATTTTTTAAAATATCAATATTTTTTTGGTTAAGTTAATTTGGAACGCGCAATAACTTAATTAAAAATATTATTTTTGGTAATTTGTTAACATGTGTATATTCTTAAAAATATTTACTAGTCATATCATTTTAACAATTTTTTTCATACGTTTAAGTAGCATCAATTTTTTTTTTTTTATGATCATTTCTTTCTGTTACACCTTGTATTACGCTTTTATAGTTTTATGTAGATATTCATTTTATAATCTGCAATACAATAATAATTGTAATAATATACAGTGGCCAGTAATGCTAAATTGGTTTTCAGATTCCGTGGGCTAAACGAGTGATCAAGAAAATATGGCGACACGATTTTGAAAAATATATTCTATTTGAAAGGTCATTATAAATAGGATATCTATCCAAATAATATTATCCTCTAATTTTTTATATTCTATAATAATTTTTATATCAACAGTTAAATTGTATTAAACATTTTTAATATTTCAATTTATTTTTTATATCATTTTTGGACACAATTTTCACATATTCATATCTTGGGCATCCTGTTTATCTTTTGATAGTATTATTAGTATATATTTTAATTTATTATTTTCAACCATATTACTTTCATTAATCGCTTGGTTTCCAATTAAACTTGTAGGTACTCGCACAAGTGGTGACATGTATTATAGCTATTATACCTAGTCAATACATAGTATACATTTTGCGGAAACGAAAATTGAATCTATTCTAGTTTTGGCGGAAACGATATAGCAGACGGAAACAGATATTTTTTACGTAACCGACACAAATGTGTTGATATTACTCTACTTATCTAAACTTTAAATGAATATTTAAAATACGATTTATTTGATGTTTATACACACATATTTTTATGAAAGTATTCTGCACTACTGTTTATTTATTATATTAAAGAATTAAAAATGAATAAGATGTCATAGAAAAAAAATGCATACATAGTTGAAATCTGATTTCTGATAGCATATAGATATTAACACTGACGTCTGAATAAGTCGGATACTATACTATACTACAGCTATATCATATAGTATTTTTAATAAATGGTATACTTATATCCAAATTTCAAATACGCTAAGTGCATAACATTATAGAGTCTATAATCTATATGCATATCTACATAATATTATGTTAATAATTAATATCTAATATGCGTTTTGTTTGTTATAAGTAGTTAGGTACCTATAGGTAATACACTTTTCTACACCTTAAAGACAAAGACCTACGTCCTACAAGTATATTGCTTCACTCGAAAGTCGAAAGTCGAGAGACGTCTGGTGTACTGCGTGGCGTGTAGGTGTATTACATAAGTACCTACGAGTTGTCCAAAATTTTAAGATAAAGTTATTAGGGTACCCTATCTTGCTCTGATATTTTGATTGAGTATAATAAAGTAATCATACTTTATCATTGAAATAAATCATACAAATGTCGTCAAAATTTGAACTTCGAACAGTTATTAAAAAAAGTATTGTGACTTCATGTTTTTTAAATGCTGTTAGAACAATTTATTCACAAAGTAATTACATAACTTTAATTTTATTTTTATACCTTCCAATTATCTATATAATATATTGTATGCACTCTATAGATAAACCTCTGAATTAATTGTTTACGTACCTCTATTATGGCTCTCTATGTATACATTTTCAAGTAAAATTTATTTTTAATACCTAAAGTTAGAACACTAAAAAAACATACACTTCCAATAAAGGATACTATATAATGCTGTATTAGGGTTATCCGTATGTATATATATAGTAAATGTACAGATTGCAGGGCGATTTACCAAGCACGGTCACCCTGTCTTTTTCTTCAATAATGCAGTTTATTATTTAAAAATTCAAATCGGCCAAAAAATCAAATTTAAACAAAATTCAAGTCTTTCAGAATATTACTCTTAGAAAAATCCCTAACGCTCCCTTCTTGGTCCCATATTTAACTCTCCACCAAGATCTAGGTATTCTACCTGTTATAACCGAAGTGAAACTTTTTACAAACATTTTTATTGATTTAGACTAGTATAAATCACCCTAACCAACTAATAAAAGAGTCTTCTCACTGCCCGGAAATCCACAAAGTAGACTCAAAAGGAAATGGTGTAGTGACCATTTAAATTAAATATCTCTCCTTAATTACCATAAACAAAACACCAAGCTAAGTGTCACTATAATGGGTGGCATCAGCTTATTCAAGAAATCCATGGTTTTTTTTAACCCTTATCCTATATGCTTTTTGTACAAAATTGTATGGATTGAGTATGTGAGGCGTTTGTGAAATTAAAAAAAAAATTCCAAAAATCAGAATTTGAATAAATTCTGCAATATTTAGCTCAACTGCACGCGGGGATGAGAGTTGTCGGTGAATCACCCAGTATAATATTATGTTATAACGACTATAACTACATACAATTATCATAATACGGTGGGAAAAAGTACGTCGAACACAACAATATGCACGCATTATATTATCACAGCGGACGTTAGATATCCATTAAAACGGACAGTCGGCAGTACTGTTTTACTGCTAGTAAAAATCGGGATGAGTCACACTTCGAGTGCAGCCCGCACAAGGCACAATAAAACACGTCCAGGACACAAACATATTAATAACATATATATAGTTCCACCGTAGTTCCTGCCACTCCCGATTATCAAAGTTACAACCGTAAGCACTTGTCGTCCCTATAATATACCCAGGCCTAGGTATGATATAATTATAATGATTGTGATGATAATAGTAATAATATATTACAGTATTAAATACTGCGGATTCCTACCTGTATAATAAATGATAGATATGATATTGTCCGTCGACCGCTTGGCTGGTTTACGTGAACGTATAATAAAGTGCTGTTGTCAGATGGCCTGATTGTTCAAAAATAAATTGATATAATACTACCCTATGGGTAAATTATAAATCATAAAATATTAATAAAATAATTACAGTCTTGTTAAGTATTCGAAGAGCTACTTTGAAAAAACACTTTTTATTCGTATTTTTATTCTAGAATACTAAATACTTTTTTTAATTCTCGTTGTCTACTCCAAATTCCAATTACTAAAATCTCGGAGTGTACCATTTTAAATTTTCTTTCTAAAATATTATTTTAAAATGTTTCTAACTTATGACAATTTATAAATAAGGTTTCGCAAAAATACAAACAGATAACAGAATGATTAAACACTGAAACCATCGGCTCTTCACTCCCAAATTATACCG